ACAACAAATGAACTACCAAAAGAACAAACCAATCTGTGTTGGAAGAAGTAGAGCCAGAATGCTCCCTGGAAGCCAGGATGGTCAGACTTCATGACATACTGTCAGGAGGAACTAGTCCCTGGAGAAGGATATCATGTTTGGCAAAGTATGCGGTCAGAGGAAAGGAGGAAGACCCACAACTAGATGAATTGGCACAGTGACAGCAGCAAAGAGCTGAAATGTAGTAATGACTGTGAGGTTGGCCCAGGACTGAGCAGCATTTCGTTCTGTTGTGCATAGGGTCGCTATGAGTAGGTACTGGCTCGACGGCACCTAACAACAGCAACAACAACAACACTCAGAGTAGCTCAACTTGTTAAGTGATTGACTATTAGGCCAAAGGCTGGTGTTTGAAACCTCCTAGTCCCCCAGCAAATATTCATATAAAAGCATTTGCCAATTCAACAATTTTTACATGTGTAGTTCAGTGACAAGGCGCTCTTGTGGTACAGAGGTTAAAGTGCTCAGCTGCAAACCAAAAGGTCTGCTGTTCTAACCCACCAGATACTCCACAGGAGCTGGCAGATTTAATCCTGTCATTTTACTGATGAGGTCACTCAAGTGCAAGGGATCCACGTGGTTGAGTGCAGGAACCACCGTGGGTCAGAGCTCCATGCCCTGTAGGAGCCAGTTTATGCTGCAACAAATGCCAGACAGAGTTGCCAAGTCCCTGCAAGGAATCAGCCTTGCACCCCAGAGCCATGGCTCCCTCTTTAGACATCTAGAGGGTTTACATGGAACACCAGGGTGTCCAATGCAGTTTAACAGCTTTACCATGAGCTGAGTAACATGGTGACATTCCACATTCATCAGATCTCTAGGAAAACACAGACAGCTAACTGACTGAGTCAGTTTCTGATGTTGAAGGAGAAAGGGTTTTGTTAACTGGAAAAGCCTGGCATTAAGGACTTACAGGCATTCTTCATTGCATCCCCAGTTTGACTTAATAAAGGGAACCTCCTTGAGAGCAAAGGACATCAGTGCACAGAGCATTCAGCCACTTGTGTCTGTCTAAGGATCCGTAACCAGGAAGGGTAAAGCATGGGCTGGGCCCAGCCAGGTTGGCCTGCCAATAAGCCAGGTCCATGGTCATGGTGAGCAAAGACAATCAATCTTCTGGGAAGGCGGGAATGATCACATGTGAGGAGCAAGATAAGCCAACAAGGGAGACAGAAGAGTAGTCAGAAAGGAAGAAGAAGAAGAAGAACACTAGGACTGGGGTCCACTAGAACCCATCACTGAGTTGATTCCGAATCATAGAGGCTCTATATACGATAGTAGAGCTGATCTTTTTCAGAGTCCTGCGGTGATACTGTAGGATAATCACTGGACCATATATTCTATTTGAATCACAATGTCGGCAGTTCAAATTCACCAGCTACTCCATGAAAGCCCTATATAAGGTCTCTATGAGTCAGAACCGCTCAACAGCATTTAACAACAACAACAGAGCTAATCTTAGGGATTTCAAGACTGTAAATCTTGACAGAAGCTAAGTCTCATCTTTCAATGCTTAGCCCACAGCGCTACCAGAAGAGGGGAAAGGAGGGATAAAATTTAGGCAGACAAAGGCACCAGGCAGGCCAAGAAAGATGACACCTGTGGATGCCTCCTGGGTTTGGCAGGTGGTCATGGGCCACCTGTGGAGGGTGGTGGCCCAACTCTTCCACACCATTGCTATGCCTGCCTCACTCATAAGTATTCTCCAGAGATCAGGGGAAGTTCTGCATATCCTCTGAGGCCTTTTCCTACTTCTTCCCCGCATGATTAGTTCCCTTTCCCATTTTATACTGCCACAACTCCCTGAAGTTCCCTTTCCCTTAGCCCGTATGCTGGACTCCCTGGAAGGTGCAAATGGACGACTAGCCCCAAAGGCTGGTAAGGTTTCCATTCATGCAGAGGTACCTCAGAAGACAGCCAGGCAAACTGCTTCCAAAACCCTTGACAATCCTACAGAGCAGTTAGTTCTACTCTACACACCCAGGGTTGCCACGAGCTAGAATCAACTGAACAACTATGGCAACTAACAACCATAACTGCCCTTTTGCTATGGACTAGACTTGCAATGGTTTGTTTAATATCTGTCTCTTCTACAAGATTACACATTCTACGTAGCCAAGGAGGCTGTCTCTCTCATCTGCATCCCCCACGCCCAGCACAGTAGTAGGTACTCAATAAGTATGTGTGGATTTGGGTGTTTCAGACAGTGGTTAAGCAAAAGGCAGGAGGATCCAGGGGAAACTCGCAACCTTGGAACACTGATCTCAGCAGCGAGGTGGGTACAAGACAGCACTGGGCTGATTCAGCAAAACCTCAGGCACGGCACCACCTACTCTAGAGAAATAAATAAGATGCTGTTTTGGTTCAGAAGCCCTGGCTGGTGTCTACTCTACCAAGACATTTTCCAGGTCCGGCCCTGCGGCACAGTGTGAGTAGCAGGAGAGAGACAGGTGGAAAGTCCCCTGCAACCCAGAATATGATGGAAGTGGTCCTCGGTGTGCTTAGTGAGCAGAGACCCCCTCTTACAGTGACAGAGTTCCAGGGACAAGGACACAGAGGCCCTCACTCTCTGGCGTGAGCTGGTTTCCGGCACCCCTGCCTGGCTCTTGCTTTGACAGCATTGTTGTTGTTGTTAAGTGCCGTCAAGTCGATTCCGACCCATAGCGACCCTGTATAGGCTTTCCAAGGAGCAGCTGGTGAGCTTGAACTGCCAACCTTGCAGTTCAAACGGCTCTGCAGTCTGGTGCATTAACCCACAGATTTGACAGCACAGGGTCCCATTAAAGACTAATTCATTTTTCAGTCTCTCAAAGCCCAGAAACTCTCTAAGTCACTGAGCACTTAAGCATTTCACTGCTTGGAGAAGAAGAATGAGATTAAAATGGTCAGTTCTCCTGAAGGACCCTGTGCCTGATCAATGGAATGGCATTGCAACTACCCCAAACTGGCACTGAATGGGGTCCTGCTTGAGCTTCCGGTCTCCGGAAAGCTTGGGTCTTTGTTATACCTGTAGACACTCACCCCCACAACTCCCACCCCTAAATTCCAGGTTTCAGGGAAATCCCCAAACCCTCGCCCACTGTAAACTCACCAGAACTGTATCCAGACCACACTGTCTTAAATACCCCAGTCTGTAAAAGAGACAGGCTTTTGGTCTCCTTTGGTGACTTAAGAGTGCCCCCTCCCAGGTTTACTCTCAATAAACCTGTCTGCTGTTGAAGCCAAGACTCTCCTTTGTCTCTTTCTTTCTTTTCCTTACATCTCCTCAATCTTTTTATTTTACAAGAAATAATGAATGAAGCAGGTCCTAGTCAAAGCTTCGGTGCTTATGTCCATTTGTACCAAGGGTCCCTGGAGCTTGGAGTATCCCCCTGGTGTGGCTTTTTTCCTTGAGCCTCATTGACCCTCTTCCTTTCTATTCTCCAGCCCACCTCAGTCCCAGGCTCACACACTCAGCAGCTGCCCCCTAATAAGCCCTGCTTGCTCACACTCTGTGACTGCCCAGCTTCTATTTCTTCTGCTTGATTTTTTTTTTTTTTTGAGGGGAAGGGAAGAGGCTCCATTGCTTTTATTGAAGGTCCCCGACAACATAGATTTACTTTTTCTTCTCCACGTCCTGCTCTGCGGTTTCCTTGGTCCTATTTGCACGGATGCCGAAGAGCCGGGCGTGGGCACGGGCCATGCGGAGACTGGCAAATGCCTTAAAGTCCTTCTCTTCCTGCGTGATGACCTGGGCTTTCTCCTTCTTATAAACATTCCAGATGGGCATCACTGGTTCGGTCAGCTGAGTAGTCAGTTTGAGTTCTTCAGCAGAGCTATTTCCCTTCTTGGAGCAGAGAGCTTCCTGGGGAATAAAATGAGCTTCGAGTGGTACTCCTTCAGCCGCTGAACGTTAGCCTGCAGGGACTAAGTGCATTTGTTCCTTCTCCTGGGGTCCACAGAGATCCCGATGGTCCACACCACCTTCTTGTGGATGCCGGTCACCCTCAGTTCTTCCAAGCTGAAGCCCCTGCCTGCTCGGACTTTGGTGTGATACCGCACGGTGGGACAGTGCACAATGAGGCTTGTCGGGCCTTGTGTCTGCGGATCTTCTGTGCCAGCTGGTTGAACCACGTGGCTACTCGCCGCTGCCAGTCCTTATGGAAGTGAGGCTTCAGAATCATGCCATTCCGGCTGGGCACCAGGGCTGGCTAGGGCCCTCCTTGAAGCAGAAAGCCGAGCGGAAAGAAAGTGACTGTGCAAAGCCTCTTCTGCCTGAATCTTAGTGTACACCTTTTCCAAAAACCTTTTTTTTTTTTTTCCTTTATAAATTCCTGCTAACTCTTTGGGAGTCCTAGTGTGGCCCTATAGTTTAATGTGCTGGACTGCAAAGTTGTTCGAAATGCAAAGTAGGCAGTTAAAGTTTACCAGTCGTTCCTCTGAAACCCTATACAGGGTTGCTATGGATTGGAAACAACTTGATGGCACTTAACAACAGCAATCCTTTAAGACCAATCTCAAAAAGCCACTCCTGTGAAATCTTTGGTTACTACTACCTGAGAATTTTCCAGACACTCTGTAAGTCTGTCATGGCACTTACGTGGCAGCAGTAAAAACAACAACAACAAATCTAAAAATAATATTAAAAGTACTGTGTGCTCACAAAAGTGGACACTGTTCTACAGGCTGCATGCACTCTCTCACCTAAACTTCTCCACACCCATACGAATAGGAACTCGTATCACCCTGCTTTACAGTCGAGGACACTGAGGCGTAGTGGCATCCTTCAACTTGTCCAACACGTGGACCCAGGTGGGCTGACAAGAGAGCCTGCCTTCTCTCTTCTCACAGGCTGGCTGTGCTGGCTTTGAGGGTGTCTCCCCACCCAGACTACAGAATCCCTGGGTGGCTGGGAGTGCCCTACTCAGCACACATTAACTGCACCACTCAGGAACTCTGGTAAAATATTTAGGAGGGTTTCAAGCAACTGGCCAGGATGGCCAAACTTAATCTCTCATACTTCGGACATATTGTCAGGAAGGACCAGTCACTGGAGAAAGATATCATGTTTGGTAAGGTGGAGGGTCAGAGAAAAAGAGGAAGACCCCCAGTAAGATGGATTGGCCAAGTGGCAGCATCGATGGACTCAAGAGTGGCAACAATTGTGAGGTTGGCCCAGGACAGGGCAGTGTTTCGTTCTGCTGTGCATAAGGTCACTATGAGTCGGTACCAACTTAATGGCACCTAACAACAACAGCAACAAAAGTAACTGGGGTCCTGGTGTGGTACTACAGGATTAGCATTGATTGCTAACCACAAGGTTGGTGGTTCAAACCTGCCATCCACTCCTTGGAAATCCTATACAGGTTGCTGAGTCAGAACCCAATCAACAGTACTTTACAACAACAACAATAACAAAAGCTACTTAGAAATCCCTGGAAGGTGCAAAACTTAACATGCTCAGCTGCTGACCAAAAGTAGGAGGTTCAAGTTCACCCGGAGGTACCACAGAAGCAAGGCCTGGTGATCTACTTCCTAGAAATCAGTCGTTGAATCTCCTGTGGAGCCCAGATCTACTCTGACATACATGGGGTCTCCATGAGTAGGAACTGACTTGGTTACAACTGGCTGAAAGCTGTATAAAGTGCTCAAGGTCAGCTTAAGCAGTGGGGAGGTAGAAGGTGTGAGAGCCAGGCTCTACAGAGCAGAGTTAGACTGCATTAACACCCTCCTCTCAGTTAGCTGTAAACAAAGCCTCAGAACTGCACCTTTCAGCCTCACAGCTCTGCAGCCCCCTTCCCTTCTCCTCACTGGCTTTGCTTTTACCCTGAAACCCCCCACTCCTAATTTACTAGCTCCATCAGTCTGTTCTTTTATTCTGACTCACTGCCAGTCAAGCCTGTCCTATCTTTGTTCTTCTTTCCTCCAAGTTATAGGCCTTCATCCAGATTTCCTCGCTCACCTCCTACACAGCTGCTGTAGGGAACATGACTTTCATGTGAATAATAGGCTCTTCTAAAGCAGTGGTCCTCAACCAGTGGACATCTGGGCATAGTCTGGGGACACTTTTGTCTGTCATAACTGAGAGTGTGGTACTGTCATGTAGTGACTCAGGGCCAGAGACATTGTTAAGTATACTAGCATGCACAGGACAACCCAGTCCAAAATGTCAGTAGTAGCGCTTCCCTAAAATTAGTAAGGCTGACCTGAGCCATCATCAGTTTCTAAGAGCTGAGAAAGCCAGTTCCAGTGCCTTCATGT